CACAACTTTCTATATTAAAGGCTTTAGGATTAGGATACTATAAGTCTGCTAGATACTATAGAGAATAGTTTTAATAACTTAGGGTGGAACTATATTATAGAAAATATAGCTATATTCGCTAAAGTTCTAGGCTAGTATAGCCTCTCGGTTCTTTAAGATTTAAGTAAATATTTAGGTCTCCTAGTTAGTAAGACTATTTTCTACTTTAGCTATTATATCTATTAGTCTCGATAAGGTAAACCTTATCCCTAGTTTAAGGTTTAAAAACTATAGTATAATTAGATTATCCTACTTTAATCTAAACTATATCTTTTTCTATACCGCTACTAAACGTTTTTCCCTCTAGTTCAGATTACTATTAGGTATTAATCTATCTAAAATTATATAGTTTACTAGTTTAACTTTTATAGCTACTATCTTATATATAGTAAATGTCTAGAGGCTAGTAGATCCTTTCTAAATTACCTTAGTAAGTATATAGTATCTAGTATAGTTAAGAAAAGTCTTAACCTTCTAAACTATCTCTAATAGTATTAGGTTCTTTAGAACCTCCTATCTAGAAGGGGAATATAAGGAAGAAGAAATATATATTAGTATATAAAGAAGGGGTAAACAATAATTCTTTAAGACTAGATCGAAAACTACCTTACCTTCTATATCTCCTATAAAGCCTAAGAGTTCCTTACCCTCTTAAAGCTCTACTTAATTAGAGGTTCTTTCAGTAGTTTAAACTAATCTCTAAAAAAGTTTATTTAGGAGTTACTTTAAGCAGTATAGGTCCGAGATCTTATCCGAAACTATATAAGCTTTAATAAGTTTATTCCTAATAATATAGTTTATAGTAACTAGATAGCTATTACTATAGTTAAAGGTTAGAGATATATTATAAAGGAATAGCATCCCTAGTAGGATATTATAGCCCCCTATATTACTATCTAATATAAAGAAGTATTCTATAATAGTGTTTCTAGCTAGGATAATTTTTATAAAGGCCTCTTCTATAAACAGTTTAGACTAGTATAATCCTTTTAAAATAATTTCTATAGTCTAGATAGGAAGGCTATACTTCTTTATAAGGTCTAGAGTAATTATATTATATTCTAACTCTAAATCGAGAAGTATAAGCTCCTTATCGCTGTAGATATCCTTAAACTAATAGTAGAGGTTCAGTAAAGTATATATCCGGGTAATTACTCTAAGCTCTATCTTTTAACTAAATGTAAGCTAACTATAGAGTATCTTTAACAATTCCTCTACTTATATAGTTAAAAGCTTATCTTAGCCCCTTTAAAGGAGTTTTTCCTAGAACCCTCCCTAAACTACCGACTATAGGCTATCGGTTATAATACTAAAGATTACTAGAATAGTTTCCCCCTTCTAGTTAATACCCCGATAGTTTCCTAAATTATTAATATTTATCCTTACAGACTATAGGAGTCCCTTACTTTCCTTAGATACTATATAGACTATATCTTACCCTAGAATATTAGAACCTTTATAGTTAATAACCTTATAGGATGAGCCGGCTATATAAATATAAGCTAGTAAAGCTTTATAGTATACTAGAGAGATCTTTAGGAGGTTATCTATAGTTAATAAGGATTTAATTTATAAAGATTTATAGACCAGCTCCTTAAGATACCCTACTATATCTAGCTCTTAAACTTCATCGGATATTACTTCCTTCTTAACCGGCTTCTTTCCTATAGCCGAAGATAGTTACACCCTCTAGTTAGCTGAAGAAGGCCCGAACAGATATTTGAGAATTGTCTTCCGGGCTTCTCGGACCTTATCGCTATCTTAGATACCGTAAAGGGGTCCCTCACTCTTAACTTCTTAAAAAAGACATTTCGGTAGGGGTATTCCTTATACTATTATAATTACTTCTTCTACTTCTACTTCTTCTACTACTCTAGCTTCTTCTATCTAGACTTACTATTAGGTATCGTTATATAGCTCTTCTAGGTTATTCTAGATATATTGCTATACTATAGTATAGCCTTTTTATTTTCGGTCTATAAAGAAGTTTAATAATCTAGCTATAGTATAGGTAAAAAGAGATCCGGCTATAGGGTTACTACTTTCAGTAATATAGTTAACGAAAGTATAGATAGATTCTTATAGTTAAGCTACTTTATTAGCTTCTTAGATAAATTTAGTATTGGTAATTAGACTGATATTAGGTTTATACTCCTACCCCTACTTCGATCTATAGGCTATATACTAGTCTTAGTATAGTCCCTAGCTAGTTAGATTAGAGTATTTAGAAGTATAAGCTTAAATAATATATATTTAATCTCTATAGTTAGCTGCTTTTTCTATATTATTTTAATCTACTTCTACCTGATATTATTATATATTAGTATAACCACCGCTCCTAAGAAACTAATTAAAACCCTCTTTTTCTACTAATCCTTTATAGATATCTTTAAAAAGAGTTAGATATTTAATAATAAAGTAGGTAGTAAGGCCGTAATAGTAATAGCCTAAAGGGTTCTAAGATCTGGAGTTAGGTTTAAATCTCCCTTTGTTTCTCCCTAAACCTCTAGAATAGCTATTATTATAGCCGCCTTAACCTCTATAGATACCTTATATATAGGTTTTAAACTCTTTTACTTTAATATCGGAGATCCTAGTTCTAATAGTTCTAAGCTTCTCGATTACTTTAATATAACCTTTCTCGAAGTAGGATTTATTAATCCTTAATTCCTCTAAACCAGCTATTAAATCGTTAATATCCTATTTAGAGTCTGAGCCTATCTAGATATTAGGAGTAGGTATAAATATTATACTAGGTAAACTTTTTATAACTATAGTAAACTAGTTAATAATACTACCTTACTTTACTTTAGCTAACTTAGGCTTAAGTTTATAGAATATAATATCTATATTTATATCGTTATATAGGTATTTCTAAAGGAAGTTATAGAACTCGGACCATTTAAAGGAGTTAACATTATCCTTAAAGTTCTAATATAGTCTATACCTAGCCTAGAATATATCCGGCAGTTTATCCTAGATCTTATTAATAATATTAATCTTTATATAAGCCTTCTTCCTCTTTAATACTCTAGTTAGAAGGACCTCAATCTTTTCTAAATAGTTATAGATACTCTAAATATCTAAGCTATAGATACCTTTAATAGCTCGGTTAAACTCCTTAATCGAATCATTCTTATAGGAGTTATTCTACTATTATCTTTCTTTAACTATTACCTCGAAATAAACCTAGATATCTTTCTTATCTTTATCCTAATCGTTAATAATCTCTTAGAGGTTATTATTATACTATTATAGGAAGTATAGGATCTTATTATATTCTTCTACCCTACTATACTTATAGAAAGCTTTTCTAAATTATTTTAAATAGAGTATAGGGTTATACCCCTTAAAAGGTCCAGATAGACTATTATCTAACTAGCTAGAGAATAGGTTCTAGAGTATCTTAGTAAGTTAGTCTACTATCTTATCAATTAAATAGGCTTAAGGAGTATTAGTTACTAAAAGCTTAGAGGCTAGAGTATCTAGATTAACTAATATAGTAGTTTATATAAAGACCGGTATTAAAATTAGAGTACTATCTATTGAGATTACTACCTATCTAGAGGGAGAACTAGTTAATAGAGGTATTTATATTATATAGAGGTAGTAAATATCTATTTATCCAATTTCGATCGAGATATATACTATTAAATTCCAATAAGGATTTTAATTCCTTTCTATATACTAAGCTTACAACCCTCTATTCTTTTTAAATCTTTACTCTCTAACTATATTACTCTAATAATTATCTATTTTCTTAAACTAATAATATCCTTTCTAATATATATTCCAAAAAAGGTTATAAATACCCTAGTAAGTTTACTTAGCTAAACTAAATAATATAATTATTATTATTACTAATCCATTTAAAATAAACTATATTAAATAAAGAAAAGTTAGCTAAACTAAGGTTAAACCTACTTTAAAGAGGTAAACAAAAAGTTAAATATTATATCAATTATCTAAAGATTATTATTCTGGATCCTATTATCTTACTTCTCTATAACAGGCTAATCGCTTTTTATATATTAATTACCTACTGGTTAGAAGAGTCTCTGAGAGATCCGATTATTGTTTTTATTAATAAGTTGGCGGAGCCTTTCTCCTTCGAGCTTAGTTCAGCCAGATTAATAACCCTTAATCCTTTGTTAGGGGTTTCGTTATTATTTTTCAAGTCTTATAGCCTCTACCCTATAAATTCTCTTATAACTAAATCTATCCTTTTAATAAATTATCCTTCTAGTTAGAAGGTTCTATAGCCTAGTTTAGACCTAGAGTAAAGCTCCTCCCTAATTAAGCCTCTATTTAAAGTAGCGATATACCTTAAAACTATATATACTACTAAACACTTATAATAGGTTATATACTATATATATATATTATAATATTAATGTTATATAAGGAAGGAATTAGCTTAGAGAATAGTCTTTAATATTATAAATCCTATAACTATAGAATTAATATACCTATATAGTATAGCCTTCTGGTTAGAAGGCCGCGGTTATAACTACTGTAAAAAGAAGTTACTTTAATAAGTACGGAAAAAGAAATAGAATTGTATACCCTGTAAACTCTGAGAGGGCTTGAGCCTCTGACTAAATACAAGGATGCCCCAGGCAGACGAATGCAACGAAGAAACGGAAAAACGAAATTCCAGACCCTATGTCCCTCTGGTCAGAGGGAGCTCGTTGCCCTAGTTTACTACAAATCCGGCAGTTCCGGTTGGATAAATGTTCCAGGTGCTGACTACGGGCAGCCATCACGACAGGTGTCGTTCGTATCGCGTATCATCCGACATCAGCATATTCCCCCACCGGTATATGTAGATGCCCCGGGGTGAGGGAGGACCTAGCAGGGATGCTGCCAACCCATGCCGGACAACTCAGGGGGCAAAGAAGGCATTCCGGATAATATTTTGCATGGATAGTCAAAGGCTGGCTCTTGAGCATAAAAGCCGAGGGTTCGTCATGACACTTATTGGAACAGCCGGAGATCAGTCCCTGCCAACCCTTTTTGACTGCAACCGCAATGATACGTACGCCTCTCCTTTTAACACTAGTTTCCGGAGCATACATCGGCGGCCTCGTCCTAGCCGCTGATGTGTCGACCCTCTCCTCTTCTTTGAAGGTCATCTCGGCAAATGTCTTCCCTGGTCTCAGGGACATTGCAGCGGACGTCTGGAGAAACCCTGAGATTGGGCTCGATGAGAACCATGCCCACGACCTCGTTGTCGACTACTTCACCAAGATGCGGTCGGGCGAATGGGAGGTAACACCTCACGCTTTTGGCATGTCGACAGCTTGGAAGCTCGAGTTCGAGTTCCGAACACCTGCCATCCCGCCTAGCGAGAAGTTGCCCGCCATCGGCTTCATGGCCGAGTACGACGCACTCGTTGGTATCGGCCACGCATGCGGACATAACCAAATCCTGCTCAATGCATTGGCAGCCGCGAGCATGGCTCGGGAGGCACTTATTAAACTTGAGATCCCCGCGCGTGTTGTGGTCATCGGGACCCCAGACGAGGAGAACGGGGCGGGCAAATGTCAACTGCAGAAAGCGAGCGCGTTTGAGGATGCGGATATCTGGTTCATGGCACATCCGACGAATGCCAACGCGGTGCAGCCTATGAACTCTCGCATCAACGCGTTTTCCGACTTCAGAGCCACAACCCATCGTGGGGCGGTCCGGAAGGCGTATGAGGCGCTTGTTGCGGTGCGCGACCTAGCCGCCGGAGGGTTGCCGGGAACATCATCATCCGTTGTTCCGGTCGAGGAGGTCGGCATGTTTGAGTGCAACGTCGTGCAAGGCGAGATATCGCTAGGAATCAACGGTTCATCGGTTGAGGCGGTTCGGCAAACGGTGTCCTCCATTCTCGACAGCACATACCCTGAAGTCTCCTTCACGGCGGAATACGATACCGACGGTGGCGTCAACTTGACGGCCATCGGCCCCGGAGGCCACGCGTCGGAGAGCACCAAAGGGCCACTTGTATTGACCATTGAAACCTTCCGCGCACTTTCTAGCGAGGATGGTATCTCGTTTTACCTGCCCGGGAACACGACTCTAGGAGCGCTTGGCATTATCTTTGACATCCGCTCACGATACACACACGATATCACCTCCGTTCTTGATGCCGTCCAAGCGGCCATAGGAGACAAGGCAGAAGCCATCGACACCGACACTGTCTACCCTGCCCTCGAGGTGACGCCCTTCATCCCCGCCATCTTCACCGACCTGATGACGTCGCCTGATTTCGGCTCGCAGACGGATTGGCCCATATTGACCTTTGCGCCCGCGTCTAGCGATGCCGGGTGTGTTCAAAACGCCGTCGTTGACCGGACCACGCATGCGCTCCTCGGCGTAGATAAGGTTGTTTTCCATCCAAACTTTGGTATCTGCGCGCCGGATGGCGAGTGCGCATTCAATCATGAACCAGATTTTCATAACGTTGCTGGGACTGAGTATAGCTATACCCGGACGGAGGTTGTTGCACGCGGGTTGGCGCACCTTGCCGTGCAGTTGCTCAATGATCCAGTTATGATGGCCAACGCGACGGCTATTATTCTTGCAAAGTGAAGCGAGTGGGTAATTATGGGAGGTTCAGTGTGGTGGATATAGATGGGGAAGAAATGGGGGTTGAGGTCCGGGGAAGGAAAGGTTTATGGCACTAGTACAGGTGAATTATATACATATAACATTGCGATCGTGCTCTCGGGGAAGTTGCAGAGCGAAATGAAACTGCCCCTAATCCCTCTTCGCCCTCCGTGCCTTCATCCTCGCCGCTTTCGCCGCCTTGCACCGGCTCACTGCCGTCAACCGCCCATCCAACGCGATGTCGACGGGGGACGTGGCCTCGATATGCCTCACCAGGACGTCGGCCATCGTGTCCAGAATCACGAGGTTCTCAAACGGGGTGCTGAACATGTTATCTCCGCCGCCAGCGATAAAGTCAACGGTGACGATCTTGTACTCGACCGTCTTGTCGAGGGGCTTGTCCCCAATGGTCACTGAGACAAGCACGTTGCTAGTGCTGTTTTTCGAAACCGGGGCATATTCGATGCGAATGCCGCGAGAGACTTGGAGAAATGACGTGACCGCCTTGCCGTTATCCACGTTGACGCGGGAGATGATGCCCTCCAAGACAGTCCATAGCTTTTCTCCCGAGAGCGTTACTTCTACCACGGCATTGCTGAAGGGGAAGGCCGTGAGGACTTCACCACGGGTGATGGGACCCTCGTCGATAGTGGCCCTGATACCGCCCGCGTTGATCAGAGCGAAGGCGGGTGCCGTTTCCGGGGTAGTGGCATTGATTCGGTAGGTGAGCAAGGCGCTGCGGCTTTTAGCATCCGTTCGTTTCTCCCAATGGCTTTTTAGCCCTTGTTTCGGGGATGGTACTCACTCCGCGACAAAGTCACCCAGCAAACACTCCTTTTGCTGGCACGTTGACTGGTCGAGGACCACGTTCGTAACACCGACCTCCTCCTTTGCATACTCCTCGAACGGGCCCCGCCACTCGTCGATCTGCTCTTGGAGCTCCTCATCCTGCGCTGTCGTGTTGGTGATATGAATGGGGGCGCCGTTGTACGCCAGAACCTTGCCCTCGGCGTCGTAAGTCACGTCAATGTAGCCCAGGTACTCGCCCCAACGATAGGCGGTCACGATAAACACCTCGTCGCCGTCCTTGTTCTCCACGATGGTCGGGTACGGTCCGACGGCACCGTCGAAGTCTCCCAGGGGGGTGTGGCTGTGTCCGCCCATTATGAAGTGTAGGCCCGTAGTCTCCTGCGCTAGGCGTTGGTCCTCATCGTAGCCAATGTGGGTAATGGCGGCGAGGCGGGTGATGTTGGTGGTTGAGCGGATCAGGTCGATGGTGTTTTGTACCGCCGCGACTGGGTCACTAAACTTGGTACCCTTGCCAGGCGAGGAAATGCCTGGCGTCGTCTCGGTCGTGACGCCAATGACGGCCAAGTCGTACTGCGGGAAGATGTGGAAAGGCTTGATGGTGCGGTTGAGGACCGCATGGTCCGAGACGATGTTGGCGCTCACGATGGGGAAAGTCAGGTTCTCGAGGAACTCGCCCAGGTGGTCGTCGCCCCGGTCAAACTCGTGGTTGCCAAGTGTCATGGCGTCGAAGCCAATCTGATTAAGAGTCTCGGCGATCTTCTCCCCGCCGTAAAAGGAGAAAAACATGGTACCTTGGAACTCGTCGCCGACGTTGAGCAGGAGAGAATCCGGATGTGATGGCCGCGTCTCCTTGAGCACCGTCTTGACGCGCGCATAGCCGCCGAAGCAGCCACGCGCCGGGTTTGTGCAATCGGTGCCGGACGACGAAAATTCGTCGAGGTGCGCGTGCACATCGTTAATGTGATAGAATGAGATGTTGTAGTTGCCGGCGTCGTCGATGAACCGCTTGCTCAGCCTTTGACTCACAAGACGATCTTCCTGGGCTGCGAAGGCCGTGCCGAGAAGGCAGGCAGCCGTAACGACGAACCTCATGGCCATGATAGAAGGCCGGTTTCGCTGTGAAAATGCCAGTTCTCGGATGGAACTCTTGGGATGTCGTGGGCAGATCAGCGGGTCTTGACGTGGCACTGTCAGCGGTTCCAGACACCTTGAGAAGTGTTTTCGTCTGCGGTGTAACCACAAAGGCGGTCCCGTTGATATACCTATCGACGTTGTCTCGGATCTCGCGAGTGGATTTGCCGCTTACTGTCGTCTTGCAGGAGCGGGTCCCGACAGCACCCCCCTTGTTCGCTCTCCATAAGCGTCCTTGGCGAGAGGAGAGCCAGAAACGAGCAAAAGACACGGAAAACAAGGGCGACTACGAATACCGAGTTATTAACCATTCCAAACTTCGGTATATGGGGCGTTATATCTGACTCCCTTGTTCCTGACGTTCTCTTCTTCTCCCTCTCCATTTCTTCCACTTTTCTCTCCTTTCTCCGTGAACCAGATCCCGGCCTGCCTAAACAAACACTGGGTCTCTCAACGCGCTCGACGCGGCTTGGACGTTTCTTGGCTCTGGGATTCACATGCCCTGTTTACCTTCCGCTTTCGGGACCGGTTCCCTCGTTGGTCACCCAGTCTCGTGGGGCAAATTGCAACCTGCCAATCTCCGCCGACAGTCAATGATCGACTGAGGATCGACACGTGGGAGGGCAAAAAGCCCACGTGCAATGGCCGAACCCCTGGATTTGACGATGGCATGATCACAGGCAACGCGTATTTAGTTCACTGAGTTCCCTCCAAATGGTGTATGAGGGCTTGCGCAAGGTCGTCAAGTCGCAGGCTACTTCGTAGGATGCGGAGGAATGCTATCCCCCGGCCATTCGAGCCGAACGGGTGAATATCATCGCTTTGGATTTCGTCTTCAGCCCCTACGGTCTATGTATCCTCACTTCCTGCCATCGCTGGCGGAATGGTCTTTGCGCTTGGAGTTGGGATCCCTCTCGCTCCTGCTGTCCCTCCTGAGAAACCGTCTGGGTCGTCTCATCTATCCGGAGCTCCGTAGTGCTAGTATGGAGTGCGCGCTCCTCCAAAACAATGTCCTTGTTCCCGTCGCTCAGAGTATCGAGCTGTGAGAAGCCCCAAGTTCTCACGGGGCGTCTCTGTTTTTTGGGAGACGATCCAATGGTAATAATGGTGCCGTTTGGGTCCCATTGCTTTTGGTTTCCGTACATCGGCGTTCCACCACTGAGTGCCGACGCACCGAAAACCTTCTTGACGAGCGGAAAGAGGCAGGGTATGCAGGCCCCAATGAGGACGCAGTCGGCCTCGATACTGGGGAAATGGGCGGGTTAGGACGGCTAGTGTATTTAGGATTCGAGAGATACTCACTTTGTCCAGAGGACGAGGTCGTCGGCAGTCCACGTATAATCCTCTCGGGCGGGAAAGATAGCTAAAGTGTAACACTTGTAGGATGCAATAGCTCCGGCGCTATCCACTCGATTAGCAAACTAGCAACAGCCCGACCTCCCCGGAACCCGCTTACCAGTAACCGAAACCCAGCGAGGACGATAAGGCCAGCTTCTTCTTCCAGTTGGTCTGTAGCCGGAACAGCACAATGGTTGGGTAAGCAGCGAGGTAGAAGTCCACGAGGACGGAGGAGATACCCAAACTGAGGGCATATGAGAGGATGACGTGCCAGTTCCAGCATGTACCCTCTACAGCGCCCCACTGCGCTTGGACTGGCTGGCATTGAGCAATGTTGATAACGAGCATGCCGATTGTCAGCAAAAGGTAGAGAATCGAGATGATCCACATGATCACTCTATGCGTTCGACCGGGGTCGAGGACTTTTGCAAGCAGAATCACCACCGCGAACTTTGGTAGCGCGAAGGATGCTATCCCGGGCATGAAGGAGATGGCGGTATAGTAAACGATGCGTCGGGTGTCCTCGGGCGCTAGTGTATCCGTATGCCTACCCAATCCATATGATACGGCGACTGCGGTGAGGGCGACGTACAAAAGACTTAATAGCTAGGAAAAAGGCCGGGTCAGCGCCAACTTGCGGACCGTGAACCGGAACCAGGCTCCGGGAGGTTAGAACTCACGACAGAGATGATGAGAATGTAGTCGTCAAACCCAAGCCTGCCTAATGATATCATGCGGCTGTATATTCTTCCGACCACAAACACAATGGTCAGGCCAGTCATGGCCCCCATGACGCCCAGCAGTAACGGTCCATTATTCTCTTGAGCCCAGCCCGGGTAGGGCTCTTCGATGTCGAGGGGTTTTGACATTCTCGGGTAACGGCGTGTTGCGTGGGTACATCCTTCGTTGCTCGATCGTGTCTGGCCTCCAGGGGCGCTCAGGCTACTCTCGGGGAAGGGTTGGTTAGGTAGGTTATAAACCGGGGCCGTGACATGCAACGGGCAATGTGTCCGCCACAAAAGGTCTCAGCCAAGGCTGCCTAAGTTGTGAAAGTGATGGGATCCAACGGCATACAGGCAAAATGTTATCTCCTTCGAACCTGAGGGGGTGGCGAGGCTCCGTCTCGCACTGTTCACCCGAGTAGGGGTCTAGAGGTAGGCATGACGACAATACTGGAGCCACTCGCGCGCACCGCTGCTTCACCTTCCGATTCCGCGACCTGCCCGTTTGTCCTCCAGAGCACACCTGCTATCTCTTTCCATGGAAACCACAAGGGTTGCCTTGTGGGTCTGACTTGGCAAGCAAGTCTAGGCCGATGGTGTGGGACCAGACGCCTTCTAGACCGGGCAGCCCAGAAGTGGGCATGACTCTCCGAGTCACGTCAACCCTGCTTTGCCTTTAGTGTGGTTCAACGGGAATAATGCGAGACCGTTTCAGAACATTCGATGTACCTAGATGTTGGGGGTTCTTGTTCGCCCTTTCAGGGATTAGCACGCGGGCCATTCATTAATGCCACTAAACAGAAGATTAGGGTACCTAGTCAATAGAGAAAGCGGCCCGGCTTCCCCGCAATGAGCTCTTACCGTATCGCCACGACGCTCAAGTACACCAGCATCTCTACGTCGTCGTGCTCGATGGCGGCTGTCTTGAGGCGCCGACCCCTTCCACGTCACCTCCACGGGGTGTCGGAGCTCTTTGGTAACGCCCGCTAGGTATAGACCGGTTCATTAATGAAGGACCCCTGGGAATTACACAAGCCGGTGCGTAGGTGCGTGTTATGGCGGTGGTGGAGATTCTACTAGTATCAAAACGTCGTAAACACCTCTACAACATACCAGAATATCAGAAATAGGACGATGGACTTGAAGATAGGCTTATTGCAGACATTGGTAGTGCTATCTAGACCTTCAAAGAGGCACCATTCCGTCTTCCCTTTAGAGGATGTGCATCTGAACCGACGTCTAGTTTCCGCTTTTGCGCTAAGCGGCGGTTATCATGTCTCTCGCCGCAACATTCGTGCTTCAGACACCGGACGAGCCGCTGCGGGAGAGTATCAAAAGGCTCGGGAGAGATGCACCAATGGTAACTATCGAGCTCGGAGCTGATCAACGCTGCTTGTGCTAGAAAATCCAATCAAGGAAGGTGGCCGGTACGTGAGCTACGAAGAAGGTGAGAGACATCGGCAGCTCTTTGCCGGGGAAAAGGACGCGGACCTGCCAGATGGTCGTTGTCCTGATGAAGATCTGAGACACCCATCACTAAGTTTGTGTTGTGGGTGGATGAGTAGGACGGATAAGAGGTTGAGTGTTGGGTCGCTAAGTCAATAGAGTTGTTGAGGATGAGGTCGAGCATGAGAGTTGGAGAGTGTGAGTGAATTGCTATTGTACAAGTGATTGTAACCAAAAAACCACGGATATAAGATAGAAGTAACACAATTATTGTTCGACATCCTTATAAACGTAAGATATTGGTAGCGCCAAACACTACAACGATTACAGAGTTCTAGAAGTACATGTTATACTTAACCTAGACTAAGGAATGTATAGGACCATGTTATATAGATTGGGATTTGCATTCGGGTTGGTGACAACTTGGAAAGCTAGAGATCTCGAGTGGTCAACAGTGAGGTGTTTGGACCTTGTTATTCTATCGCCTTGCTGTGTCTTAGCTGCCACCCCTACCTCAGACCAAGATGACAGGAAGCTTTGTTTCCCCATTTATATGTTCTTGTAGTCTTTTCCGCTTGTCCTTGCTTCCCCAGCACACTCTGGCCAAAAAAAGACGAACTGGAAAGAAAGGAAAGCTAGAAATCAAGCAAAAAGAACAAAACAGAGAAAGAAATCGAGAAAAATAAATCAAATAAAAGATGGGGCCAAAATAAAAGTAAATGGAGTAAATACTGTCTCTTTGGGTTTCAGGATAGCTTTGTTCTGTTCCTACAGTCGAGGACTCCAAGTTTCCATTGTCGACATTTTGCGCTTGGAGTTCGGCTTTTTTTGTCCAGGAGGTGCCCAGACATCCGTGGTCTTGCTTCGAGTAGCCTTGCTACTGGGGTCTCTTAACAATAGCGGTATTCTTGCGTGTGTCTTGGACAGGCTCAAAACCCGCGCTTGTTTATCGTCGCGAAGTTCCCCCCCAACGCAAATTACCCTTCGTCATGGCCATTTTCAAGTCTCATTTTAGGTTGTCCCATCTCTCTTTGCCAAGGGGTGTTTGGTCTTTGGACCGGGGCCCCTTGTCCTTGCGTGGAGATGTGTGGTTGCTAAAATGAGGTAGGGATAACTATTCTGGGCCGAGTTGTCGTTGTTCAATCCACATATAGATACACCACAGAACAACAAAGAAATCGTTCTCGGCATTGCTGGTTGGTCGGAGATTATCACATCTAGGAAAGGGACCTCAACTCGAATATTCTGTTGATTTAGTTGGCTAAGTTCTGGCCTGCGACCTTCTGAACTACTAAGTCTGGGACGAGCACACGTCTCCTTCGCCGAGACTAGCGTCCCGTTGATCGGGTCAGCTTTGCCCCGTTGCGGTCGAAAGGCTCGCCAACAATGCCGAGGTTACCGGCTTTGCGACTAGCTCTGACACGCCTTACCCTGCAACGAGCTGCCTCTTTTGGCAACAAACTGAACGAGCTCCCACGGCAAGATCCTCAGTGGAGCAGCCCTTCGCATTTATGGTTTGTCTCTGTCACATCCTCAAATCTTATTGAGGTGAACCTCGTCGCTTCAACTATCCGGTCTTACCATAGACCCATGAGTTGACCGAGAACGAAAAGGGTCAGGACCCAAAGTCCAGGTATTTGAAGATGGCAAACCTGCCCTTGTTTCTTGCGTCAAGCTATTAACGCTCCAGAACCACTCGGCATTTCATCAAATTTCGTGCCGCAACCCATTCCACGAAATGAAACTTCCCTCCATTATCTTTGCCGCGGCCGCGGCGCTCTTAGTACCGAGCTCTTTAGCTCTGAGCCCCACCAACTGCAACACCGCGGACAAGTCGCGCACCGGCTCCGACTTTGTCCTCGTTGAGCAGCCGGATAACCCGAACGTGGCATCGCTGTCCAAGAAGCTGAAGAAGGTTTCCGTTGCCGACGTCTTCAAGGATGGCAACCACAAGATGACGACCGACAGCGCAGGCCGCAAGCTCTGGGAGAAAAGGACGGGCTTCAACGACATGGACACGGAAAAGTGGGTGCCGCAGGGTATCTCTTCCACCGCTGATGCCAACGAGGGTGGTACTGTCGGTGGGAAGGATGGCTGGATCGTCAGCTGGCATCGCAAGGACGACAAGAGCGTGCGGGTGACTTTTGTTGACCGAGCCAACGACAAGTACCGCCACGCCCTTCTTGTCTATCCTCACGCAGCCGATAACTTCCGCGAGGTCCCTATTCACGCGGGTGGCATCATGTGGTATGGTGACAAGTTGTGGGTGGTAGATACCAGGAACGGCATTCGTGTTTTCGATATGGCGAACATCTGGGAGGTCGGGTCTGGTGACGCCGTGGGCAAGACTGGAAGCAAGTACTCGGCGGCGGGATACAAATATGTTATTCCCCAAATCAGGTCAGGGATCCCCTATCCGTTCTTACCGAATACTGCTGACGAATGTGGTTAGATGGTACAAATGGTCCTCGTCCTTCCCCTTCCGCTTTTCCTACATGGCATTGGACCGCACTCAAGAGCAGCACACGATTCTTGTGGGCGAGTACCAGCCCAACACAACGGTGCCAGTGCGCATGACCAAGTACGCCCTCGACGAATCGACCGGTCGCCTCAAGATGAGCGGCAAGACGGCCAAGGCAACATGGGCCTACTGCGTTGGTATCGAGCGTATGCAGGGCGCCGTGTCGGCGAATGGAAAGGTATACATCTCACGGAGCAACGGCAAGAGTAAGGGCGACATGTGGGGTTGGGTACCGGGCAAGGCTGCCCATAAGAATGCCGGCTTCTTCCCGCAGAGCCCGGAGGATCTGAGCTACGATAAGCGGAGGAATGGCCGGGTTTACGGTTTGACTGAAGCCAAGGGAAAGAGGTATATCATCGACTCTGCGGCCAAGAAGGTCAAGTTCTCTTGACGTGGCCTAGTTACAGAGTTGCCATAGTTCCATTCCTGTATGCAATTCTTCGTTCGGTCATTTATAAATGTAGAGTCAGCGGGCTGTAATAACGCCAGCATGTGTATAGGAGCGCAGGCTATGCCGTTAACAGACCCCCAAAACATTAGCATTGCGGGTAGCCTTTTCTATCGTCCTTTATACCTCAAAGCTTCTGTCAGGGTGACACTTCCGGCTGGGTCCCAACTTTATTTACGACTCAACGAGGACATCTTCTCTGACACTGACAGCTGGCTCGGCCTGTCCATCTGTTCCCAGGGCTACCATTACGTAGCGACGGTTTTACAAGCCCTGTCTTCTATACATGAATATACCTATCCGCCCTAGCCTTTCATCTAGTCCTTTATATTGAGCTTTCCATGTCCCATTGAGACACAAGACCCCTCACCCACACAAACTTAGGGCACTCTCTAACAGGTCCTCGGCGATCCAAGCGGCCGGCCCGAGTTCGTTGCAAGGGGGTTATGGTACACTGGATTGCCAAGAGCGAACTGTTGCTATAGTAGGTTCTAGCAACGAGGAGGCGTTGTTCCCCTGCGTCCTTTTGACTCGGGAAATAGTGATGGGGCCTGATCCATCCATCCCTGTTACCCCGAGGTCGAGTCTTTCATGCATGCATGAATGGATGGCAAATGGTAGTTGTTTTCCTCCACGAACCGACAAGTGACCAGAGAAGGCTTATTCCATACCACCCCGGAAAACCATCCACACTTCCGTGCTGCTGCATGCTATCAGCGCCAACAACAGCAGTGACGCCACTAACTCAACCTACACCCAGCATGCTGTGAATAGAGCAGCGCATCACGCCGCTTAGTTGGAGTACTATGAAACATGAGGGTCCTCAGAACACACACGGTATCAGCCATGTTCCGTTGGCAAAAGCAAGGTAGGGACCTTCCCGTTTAATGCGGGGAGGGGGCGGAGGGGAGGGTGGGCGAGAGATACAAGTTGATAGGCAGGCGATCAGACGCGACGCCCATCTGGCCCGGCAAACCCGACGCCCGAGACATGCTCGTAGTGCCAGTTTAAAAACTCGCCTAGGTCGTGGGTAAGGTTGAACCCTATGGGCACTATGTACTCGTTGCCTTCGACAACGGGGCTCATTTCGAGATCCATTATGTGACTCTGCGGCAGGCTCTGGATGCTGTTGGCAGTGTGGCGGCAGCGGATAGACCGGAAGTTGAAACCCGTCTATCGTTGCCTGAAGAAGAGCGTCTCAGCTGAGAACGAGCCATTTGCCGCTCTGTAGCAGGGATACGTCGGGGTAATCATCCCGCTCGAAAACAGCTCGGGAAACAGACACTACCAACGTGCAGAAGGCGCTCGGTATAGGAAATGGTTAAAGGAAAAGTCCTCTCCGCTGTTTTATTTGTAGAGCTAAATATAAGATCTAGACTGGGTAGGAGAGACGTGGGGCGAATTCGCGTTGCTACGTACCTCTCTCTACACTAAACCTACCTCGGTAGGTAAGGTATCTTAGGTATGTATGTACAGGTAGTCGTGTAGATATACCTACCTGGTAGGTGGTAGCTGAGCTGGTGTGGGTGGGGCGTCTGCTGTGCGCCTCTCGCCGCGATTGTCTATGTCCCAGAGAATTCAGCACGTGCATCGAGTACATCCATACACTCGGTGCCTACGTTTCGATAACAAGTTTGATCTCATACTCTGATTAACTACCAGGTATTACTTCGTAGCGTATTTGCCGCGGAGGGGTACCATTATGGATGTCTCCGGCTAAATCGAGAAGCTGATGATTTACGAGATGTAGAGCAAACTCAACAACACGGCGCTGTTCACATAAAAAAGCCCGACGGCCACGGGCAGCCCAAACCCCCGAAAACGCCGAAGGACAGGACACTACGATAAGCGTGTGGGTGGTTGAGTGGTTAACATCTCCCGACGGGAGACCTCGTTATCGAGAGCACACCTCCGCTAGGATCAGGCTGGTATACGAACAGGGGGTTAGCCAGGGTTATTCGCCACCGGCAAGCCACTTACGTCGAACCCCAACTTCCGCGTCACCTTACTCCTAGAGGAGAATGCCTCTCTTCACAACCCTCGGTCGCAACAATCCCTAGGGAGGCGGTGGAGAGAGATAATAGCGATGGCGGTACAATAGATTACCCAATCTCACACCCATTTTGGCCCTCTTTCCTGTAACGCCAGCTACCCCCGTCGATTAGGCTTTGTGACCCCGGCGGAGGCGGACAGCTCGAGTTCAGGTGTGTCGAGACAAGAAAGGCAAAAGATTTGCAGTAAGGCTAGCCATTTCGGGCAGCAACCCCGACTTACACCGACGCCCATTTATGACCTTCCTATTTGGGGAGTACGCCCGACAGCACGTCTCGACGTCGTCAAGTTGTCTCGCAAGGGGAAAGCGGCGAGCCCCGCGGAGGAGAGAAACAAGATGACCCGTTATAGCCTCGGAGTGCTGTTGTGATGGGGCATTTAAGGGCTGAGAAACCCCTCACACGTTCTGATTCGAGGAGTTCAAGTCCATCAACGCTCACCATTCGTTGACAATTCCAATCCCAAACCACCACGATGAAAGCAGCTCTTGCTGCCTGCGTCGCCTTCGCGGCCGCGGTGAACGCCGCCGTCCAAGGCTTCGACGTCTCCCACTACCAGTCGAGTGTGAACTTCGCTGCCGCATACAATTCGGGTGCCCGCTTCGTCATCATCAAGGTGAGAGAGCACTATCTACCCTACACGAAGTCCGTTGAAGCCTGACCGTCTCCCCGCCAGGCCACCGAAGGCACCTCATACATCGACCCCAAGTTCTCGTCCCACTACACGGGCGCCACCAACGCCGGCCTCATCCGCGGCGGGTACCACTTTGCCCACCCGGGCCAGTCCACGGGCGCGGCGCAGGCCGACTACTTCATCGCGCACGGCGGCGGTTGGACCAGCGACGGCAGAACGATGCCCGGCATGCTCGACCTCGAGTCCAGCTCGACCAGCCAGTGCTGGGGTCTGTCGGCCAGCTCTATGGTGGCGTGGATTAAGTCCTTCAGCGACCGGTACCACACGCGCATGGGCGTCTACCCGCTACTGTACACCAACCCGTCGTGGTGGACGACGTGCACGGGCAACTCCAATGCCTTCGTCAACACCAACCCGCTCGTGCTGGCCCGCTACAGCAGCAGCCCCGGCACGATCCCCGGCGGCTGGCCGTATCAGACCATCTGGCAGAATTCGGATTCGTATGCTTATGGCGGCGACTCGGAGATCTTCAACGGCGACTTGGCCGGGCTCAAGAGGCTGGCCCAGGGCTAAGGAAGTCTACGGCCCCGCGTTGACCCGACCGTGGACCGAGTAGGGAAACCGCACCAAGACATCGGCCCGGACCAGCAAACCCTCCTAGCTGTCAGTTTTACCCCCCTTGCTTTGTAGGTTAGAACTTGGAAACTTCGAGATGAGGAGGAATTCAAAGCTTGAACAGCCATGTCAAAAAATGGAGGAATACATCGAATCTAAGCTCTTTTTCTGTCCATACCGCCCTGAAGCCGTGTATTACCGTCATGATTTGGCGTCATTGGCCCACAATACTCGGTAAATAAATTTCCTTACGTGCACTTCGGAATTCCGACTCGTTTGAGTTTGCAGGTCCGAAATCCGGGGACCACAGGGAAACGACGGCTCAAGGGCTGGCCGGCTGAACAGCAGGCCCCAGTCCCGGCGCTATTCTCAGCTTTGAGCATTGGGTCCGCAGTTCCGCATCCAAACGCCGACCGCTGTACATCTCTCTTTTTTTTCCTTTTTCTTTTCTTTTATTCTTTTGCTTTTACTTGTCAACTATAACACATAATATGGCAGTCACAGGAGGTGTCACAAAACATTTCCGCCTGCTGAAAGGGGTTACCATATCTTGATGATGGCCTCTACTCCTCCTATCACATTACTTAGAATTATTACTAGCTGCCTTCATCTTTGCAGCTCTCGCAGCCCTCCATCCAGGACACTTAACTCGCAACACTACGAGAGAATCAGTTAGCTTATTTCTCAAGGGAGCACTCTACCAATGCACTCACCAATAACCGCCGAGCCAACCAAGACAAGGTCCAAGATTGCTAACCCGGTAAAGCACCACCCGCTCCCCATTCTAGACACTAGGGTTGGAATAATTACCGCTGCTATCGCGGCGCCTGGGTTCCGCAGCATATTGCCTAGAGCAAAGGCACCAGCAGCCTGCTGGGCTACGCACTCAGTGAGGAACGCTGTGGTTGTGACAAAGACCCAATTCATGCCAAAGCCAGCTAGCAAACAAACAGTTAGCACAGTTCCGGATTAAATGACCTCTTAGTTTAGGGAATGCGCACTCAGAAACGTCGCAAAGAGCACCGCCGCCGGATGGCATGAGAATTGGATCAGCCACCCATACATGACGCAGCCGGCGACACACACCAACACTCCCCAGATCTGATCGGCCAGTCGAAATTCTGGGTCGACCTTGCCATCGGGCGCCGTCTTTACGGCCCTCGCGCGGCGCCAATCCGAGAAGCGGCCGCCACAGAGAGACCCAACAATCATAGCGACACCAACAGCGAGAAAACCCGCCCCAACAGCGGCGGGCGACCAGTAATACCGCGCTGCCAGTTCTATTGGCAGCTGGACCGCGATCGCAAAGTAGGTGGAGTAAAGAAGAGCTGTGTTTACAGTAACGATACCGATGGGGGCGTATGCGAAGAGGCGCCAGTACCCTTTGAGTGTCGGGATGGGTGGTGGTGGGCCTCGCGCCCAGGAGGGAGCTAGGGGGGACGACAGCTGTGGTGGCCAAAAGAAGACGCCTCGGTTTTCGTAGATAGCGCCGTTGCCAACGCGAGCCCGGAGGGTTTCTGGTAGTGCGAAGAGAATGACAAGCCAGAGCGCAAACCCGGAGATGGCTGGCACAAAATGTTAGTGCCGAGAAGCGGAGCAGCAAGCAAAGTCGGGAGTAACACACCAAGAAAGCCGAAGATCCATCTCCAGTTTGCCTCTGCCAGAGCACCACCGATAACGGGGCCGAGGATGGGGCCGCACTGAGGGCCGGTAAGGAAGACGGACATGGCGAATGCTCGGCCTTTTGGTTCCGTAGTCTTCACTCGTGTCAGAATACGGTCTTTGACAAGTGAGGAACAGGGAAACACATACATCAGCGACCGATCCCGCCCCCATGGAGACTACAGCGGAAGAGCCGAAGGCTTGGACGATGCGCAGAAACACCAGTGCGCCATAGTTGGCCGGAACCGCGGCCAGGAGGATGTTGGAGCCGATGTAAATCGCGATAGAGATCAGATACAAGGGCCGGCGACCCTTCCAATCTGCAAAGCTCGACCAAAATAGTGGCTAAAGTGCAAGATTTGTTAGACAATACGGCAGAGCTAGACCAAGGTAGACGGCATTGCTCACCCCGAAGGCAAAGGTCAGCATAAACACCGATACGGTGATGTTGATGGCTGTTGCGCTGGCTTGGAACTCATGCTCCAGCACTGGCAACGCAGGAAGATAGATGCCGCCTGCCAATGGCCCGAAAAAGCCCGCCACGGTAATGACGATGAGAATGAAACGACGCCGCCATGGTACAAAGGCAGAATATGGAGGCGGGGGACCATCCGGGCCCTTCTCCGGCTCTGGGCCTTTCTCCGGGTCTGGTTGCCCCGGTGGCATTGGCGTACTCGTAGTAGGAAGCATTGGCTGCTTGACCGCGCTGTCTTCGGTATGTTCTCTTCTAGCCTGCTCTGATAGTTTCAAGAATGGCAGTTCTCCGGAAACATTTATTTGTGCGGGTGGTTCTGAATGTGACACCAGGGGAGTTCGGTCCGAGTTGGCGGCCATGCTGGTGTGTATAAGTGGTCGATGTCCCTGCAAAACTTGGGTTGCACCGGCCGGCCGAGCTCGGGTTTGCAAGTTCCCGTTGGCAGTGCAGCGAGGACCGGACAGATAGTTAGACTCGGCTCGGCTGACAGCTGCAAGCGTGAGTGGTACAGAGACTGCAGATCTGCGGGTTGGAGCCCGGTTCCGATTTGGGGGCGATTCGGTTGAATTGCACAGTATTGGGCTTAGGCGAGGAGAAGTCGACAACGGGACACGCTCGTATCTGCGGGCAAAGAAACCAATAAACTTGCTTGATGACGAGGAATGTTCTGCAGATGAGACGAGCAGCGATACTCGGGAACAAGTAACAAGCGTTTTGTTTTTCGCCGCCCCGAAAGGCGGATGGGGCGGTGTCCTGTGAATTTGGCCAAAGGATTCATTCACTCGGTGCGTTGGGAGGCACAGCAAGATCCCGCCCGCATCCGTCATCCCTTCTCATGACTCGGGCTCCAGACATCCATGAATGCCATGCCTGCGCCTTGGCGCAGACGGGGACTGGACAACGGAGAACTGGTGCCCGGCCACCCCCATGCTTGCACGAGCCACTGTGCTGGGTCGGGCAGCGCTAAAAGGGCCATTCATTTCTCTCGCTATTTTCGGCACAACGGTCGACTATGGGCACCCCTCTCGGCCCGTGCAGACAACAACGGCGAGGTTCCAGGCCTCAAAGCCTTGGAGGATCGAATCGACTTTGCTTCCAGAGTACATCTCGATATAAACGGGCACAATTTCGGCATACCGTTGGTTTCTTGCCTAACCGGAGTCACATTTCTTTGCACGAGTCCATTGGCGATTAACTTTCTGCGACTAGAGTCCTACAACAGCCGGACGGAGCAATGTTCGTGCTCATCGCCGAGGTGGCCATCCTGGCAGCCTTGTTCATCGCCCTTGTTTACTTCGTCTTCCTCCTCCCACCAAAGTACCCAACCAACATCCCCGCCGTCCCGTTTTGGGTCGCCCTTTTGCCTTTCTTCAAGGATGTCGACCAATCGGATATTTTCCGCAAGTACATTGAACAACCGCTCAAGACACACGGCGCCGTGAAGCTCTTCTTCGGGGCACAGTGGAACATTTTGGTGCACAAACCCTCCTACGTTGCGGAGATCTTCAAAGACGAGGACCTTTACCAGAAGAGCGGGAACCAGAAGAAGATTCCCCACAGTGTGCTTGCCGAATTCCTCGGGGACAACATTATCTCTAGCCACGGGGAGGTGTGGAAAAACTACCAATCCGTTGTCAAGCCGGGATTGCAGAGGAATTTCGAGGCGGAGAAGATCGCCTACAACGCAGACCGCTTATGTGAGTTTCTCAAGGAGGCCCAGTTCCGAGCAGGGGACGGGGGTGTTCCTGTGCAAGATCTTTTGCAACGGTACTCGGTAGCGAATTGCTCTGAGGTGGTGCTCCAAACGAATCTCGACGTAAGGCTCCGCCGCAAACCCGGGTTAAGAGAATGGCGCTTACGAATCATCAGGCTCTGACGTCGGCGAACGCGCCTATCAATGTTCTACAGAGCGCCGTAAAGCGGGAGATCTTCAAGCCCATTTTCATGAATTTCCCCATTCTCGACCGGTTCCCGTTCCCCAGCCGCACCAGGGCGCGCCAGGTGGTCGATAGGTTCAAGAACGAGCTCAAGCGTGCGCTCGTCGAGAGCCAGAAACACAGCCCTCTTCCCGCTTCTGACGGGTTGGGGCAGCGGATGCTGGATGCCAGGGAGTCCGGTGTCTGGGGTGAACAACAACTCCTGGACAATCTCACCGTTGCCTTCGTGGCAGGCCAAGAGAATCCCCAACTGTGCATGATCTCTACGTTGTATCTCTTGGCAAAACACCCGGTAAGTACCCGGGAATCCTAGTTAAGAATCTGACATCAGCAACGGCTAACAAGTTGGACAGGAGGCGCAAGCCAGGCTTTACGCCGAGGTCCAGACCAAGGGATCGGACCAGTCCCGCTTTGACCCGGACGCTCTGCAGGAATTGCCCTTCTTGACAGCGGTGATTTACGAAAGCCTGCGCCTCTTCCCGCCGATCGGACAGCTGGTCAATCGGAAGGCGAGCCAGGACGCCTTGTTGGGGGGTGACATTGTCATACCCAAGGGAACTTATCTCGGCTATAACTGCTACTCGACCAACAGGGATTCGGCCGTTTGGGGGCCGCGCGCTGACGACTTTGATCCGAGTCGGTGGGGAGACTCACCGGTCACTATCCAGAAGCAGTACCGACTACGAAGGGCGAAGGCTGAGTTCATTAGCTTTCACGGCGGGCGCCGTGCATGCCTAGGCGAGAAATTTGCCATGTTGGAGATGAGGATCACGATAGCCACCCTTGTCCGGGAATGGAGTTGGACATTGGACCCAACCTGGGTTGATAGGAAGACCCCCGTAAGTCACCAGCCCCATTTCTCATGACTGTCGTCAACGAGCGTTGCTAACCGGGTTTGGGTATTAGGCTGGGCCTCTGTATCCCCGTGCGCTAAGGCTTGCATTTTCTCACCGGAAGAAGGATACTTGCTAGGCGAAAGAAGCGCTAGGGGGCAGGCTTGACTCTGGGTCGTTGCCTGGTCGTGGTCAGGTGGGGGGTCCCATGAGTTAGATCACAAATCAGAATGAAGACAATGCTCTATTTTCAAACCAACTGGAAAATATGACGGATGATATCGATGAATCATGTGGTCAGCGGTCTCACTCCTGAATAAATCCTAAATCCTGTGTTGAACAAACGCCGACAGCACGATAAGATCCCAGAGCATGGAGTCCCTAGTCAACGGTTTTGCAGTCGTTGTGGCAGTCCGGGAGTCTGCGATGTCCGTTTCCCATTGCCAGCTCCTCCTCGATTCGAGCATGTCACGGTGCTGTTGTTGTGCGCAGGCTCCGGGGGGAATCGCAGGCGAGTCTCGTGCCCGTCCCCCAGAGGCAGGCATCAATTCCCGCAGATCTATACTCGATAAGGGCAAGTTGGATCAAGTTGGAGGGATTAACAGCCTCGTCTTCACGTGTACACCAGTTGACCATGCATCCTCCAGCGTTCAGCCCAATCCCTCCGCACGATCGGTCGACTTTGTGTCCCAACTCCCACGTCGGTCACCCTCGGGACTTGAAGGCTGCGACTGGGATTGGCTGTGACCGCTGAGCTGAGCTGACCTTGGGGACCCAAATTCCTGGGTCTGACGCTGTTCTTCGTGTCGGTGGGACAAGTGTGTTGGGCAAGGTGCCACATGACTCGTTCAAGAGGCTTGGCCCATGATGAACACGGATTGCGCCATGTGCGCGGTTGGTGTTGTGAACCGGCCCGGTTGCATCGTTACATTCTTTCGGACAAGCCAAGCCACTACTGCCCGCCGTCTGACGGCCTCACATTGTACCCGGTACGACGCCGAAGGAAGGTTGGTTGTCACCCGGCTCAGAGGTGTCCCGACCCACAGCCACCCTCCAACCGTCAACCGCCAACCGGGTCGGCACGGTGGCGCCAAGATGTGCAAGGAGACCCTGTCGAGGCACTCACTCGGAAGAATCGCGCCTTGTGCTTCTGAAGGAAGAAGTGGAGTCTGGGATGGAAGCCCTTGGCGCGGGTGTGCGGGTAGGGTGGGCCCACTAAGAATAGCGTTACACTCGCCACGGGGCCCGGAACTTCCACGCTAAGCCCCTCTCGAACGAACAAGGATTCAAACTTTAGTTATTTGCGGTGGTCTGAATTTCTGCAGTGAAGGATGGGCAAATGGTGGTCGCAGTAGCGGCAGTGCGTCCAACAGCATGGCGGTTATGGCCGCTTGCAGCATTCATCGAGTCAAGAATGGCGAAACGGGGCTCACATCGGCTTTCTTTAGGTATACACTGCCAAAGGGCCAAGACTTACATGGTGCTTGTCGGGCGGCGACCGAGTCGCGCAACATGGCAGGCCACATGCAAGCAGGATGGGTAGGCGCCAGCCAGCTTCCAGCCTCTTTGGTAAGCCGCAAGCCAGTGTTCCTCTCCAGACCTCGGGCTTTGACCCCAGCCCAACGTGCAGTCAGGGGTCTTGCCAGCAGTTTCCTCGCCGGCGCTCGCTCCGTCCTTGAATCCTTGATCCAGACACACTCGGTGACCCGGCCCGCGTGGGGGCTGTGAGGCTCCCCCGAGATACCAGGCTGGAGGCTCACACGAGTATAGAAATACGGCACATGGACGGGTCATCAAAGACCATCCATCCAGATCTCAGTCGACTCACAACTTTATCTTCACCACTTTATCTGACATATACCAACACTTAATCATATTATCCCTTCGCCTTGTCATAATACAGCAGCCCATATCCAACCTTCTCGGTAGGTACATACCTTCGCAGCCATTACCATGGAGTTCTCCAACGAAGGACAATCTTTCTACCATCGCTTCCAAGGCTCTTTCATCCAGGGAAGGGACGGGAGGCTTGTGCACAGCACTGGTCCTCGCCAGCAATGGGTTCATGCCAACTGGGAAGCAATTCAGTCCGGCTCCCAATCGTTTCAAAACTCGGACGTCAAGATTTACCACAACTGTCAGGCGGCCCAGCGCAACAACACGGCCGTCATGGTCAACAACCGACTTCCCCAATCCAACGACATGGCCTTCGAAGAGTTCTTCGTGCAGTTAATCCTCGATCAAGCGGACCTTTGCATACGTTCTGGGGCCTTACGGACCACGGAAAGCGACCTGGTGACAGAGCAGATCGTGGATCTTTTCGACAGTTATCTCAGGTACCAGGGCAAGGGCGACAGATGGGCGCTGGGTGGGAGGACCTACTTCGCTGAGCGTATCAGGCACTTTACAGACCAGAACGCCCCCGTTGAGCTTTGCCTGCCGGCCTTTCCCTGCAAGTCGTCCAACGGAGACAAGGTGACCGGGCCGGATCCGGACCGGGGTGAGGAACTTGCGCTCGAGCGGCTTCACGGATTTGTCGAGGCCGTCGAACGAGTATACCAGCCTGGCGCCAAGATGTGGGTGATTAGCGACGGCCATGTCTTCAGTGACTGTATCGGTGTCAACGACGCCGATGTGGACGCGTATGGCGAGAAGCTGAAGGAGATGAACCATGCCGTTGGTGCCCGGAGAGGCAACACCGACCGTGTTGGGTTCAAGTCTCTCGTCGACCTGTTCCGGCTCGCGACTGTCGCATCCGACGAGGGACTCTCTAACCTCACCCGGCGACTCAACATTCCTACCATCGACCATCATGTAAACACCGAGGTGACTGAGGAAGCCGAGTTGTGCCGGCGAATCTTGATGGCGGGGTGCGGCCCGCGAAAGTCAGCTGTCCGCGCCAAGATCGACTCCAAGGACCCGGCCATCACGGCACTTTATCGTGGTTTCTCGCGGTTCATGCTGGAGGACCTGGAGTACCACCCAGACACCCAAAACAAGAGCAAGTCGCAGCAAAAAAAGCTGTCCTCCAAGGTGGCATTTGAGATGATCATGGTAGGTTCTTCCTCCGAGATCACCGGGGGGCATGGGCGCTAACTTAACAACAGCGCAACCAAGCATACTCCAACCTGGTGGAGATGCTGTTCCCGAACCACGTCCGGCTGTCCATCCATGCGTAAGTTCCACCCTGGCCCAAGACTCTCCGACCCGCTAAACCGCGCTAATTCGCTCATCTCTGCCGCAGACACAATAACGCCGGCCCCAAGTTCGGCATCCAGCTCTTTGACCCGTCCCAGGTCCGCGCCGTCGAGGCACTGTCGGCGGACGGTGAGCTCATGACCTCGCTTGATCTGCTACACATCCCCACGCCGTGGCACAACTCCGTAGTGCAACTGGCCGACAGCGATGTCGTTCTCGTGACCAAGGCCAAGCTCGCGAGGGCGGCCCTGGCGGCGGAGACCATGACGGGTGGGTTGGTGGAAGCTCGCAGCGGAAGGGCACACTTCGCGCTGGGGAAGAAGCCTACTTCTGTTGCTGGCGCTTCTCCCGCCTCTACCGCGTCCGCCGCACCCACTGTCCTCGGGCAGCCGGCGCAGACCGAGGCCGAGAAGGAGCCTACGGTGACAGTTACTGTGACCGTCATGGCGGAAGAGGACTTCAAGGCCGATGTCCCTCCCGCGCCCGGGAAGCTCCAGAAGCGTACGACGTTCTCGGAGAAGGCCGGCGCCGTTGTCGCCGCTGTGGTCCGGCGCAACACGGGCAGTCTGTCTGTTGCAGAGAAACCATCCGGCCCGGCGAACCACAGCTCCTGGTTTGGAAGGCTGCGCTGGGTCTTGGCCCTCTTTTGGCCTCGGGGGCTATGAATGGTCGGGCATTTTGGGATCACATGGTAGACTGGATTTAAAGAGGATCGGGTTTCTTGAACCGAGCTTACCTTTCCTCGACGCCACCCAGATGAGTCGGGGATAGCGTTATTTTGAGCCAATTGTCTTTGGAACCGGGAAAGGCGCATTGCATTCAATGGATGAGTGGGGTTGGGGCATACAACCTGGAATGATGGTCAGGCTGGAGTTGGGGGTTTGGGACATTCATTCTGCTTTCTCAGATTGAGAAAAGTTCCTTTGTCAATAGTTACATCCAGGCACCGTACAATGTACTCATCAAAATAGTTAGTAGGTGCCTACCTAGTAATCCAAGATTATCAATATCAAGGCTTGCGGTTTACCCCCGGGATGGACCTAAACATTTCGTATTCAACCTCGCTCACCGTCTAGTGTCTTATCAGAACCTGCCACATACCCGTCGTCCATGTTTGGCAGTGCTGGTGTCTCACCAACCAGGAATGAGTGCGCCAACCAAAGACTAACTGAGTAAAGCAAACCTGGAAGTCAGCGGATGGTCAGCGGGGCCAACGCACCCAACAGCCGACAAGGTGCCGGGAGGTCACTGGTTGCGGACGGGGGAGGAAGTCTTGTGCGCCGCCACAATCTGCTCAAATGCCCGCAATTGGCTCAAATATTTGTTTCCCATGCGGTAGGGACGGCCGACACGAGCTTCCCAGCGAGCCCATTTTCCATTTTCGGTTCTTTGCCAAGGCATCCCACGCCGCTCCTGCATGGCACGGCAGGTGTGAGACATGCACGGAGAGAGAAGGCATCAGTCGTTCGAGAAAGTGCCCTGCCTCTCAGCTGTTGCAGTTTTCTGGTTCCACCTGGCAGTGCAAGATTCCGGGTTTTAAACCATCGGTCCGCGCCGCTGGAATCACGCTTTCCCGATCTCTTCTCTGTTCTTTTTTTGCCGAGTATCATTTCCACCCCTCCGCACGCCACTAAAACAAGCGTGAAGGCTCAACCCGCTTACCTACTTGGATCGCATCATACATCCTCGTTCCGGCCCAACCCACACACTTGACCCGCTAACCCGTAACCGACTTCAACATGGACGGCCACGATCACGGCGGAATGACCATGGTGACAGCAACAACCTCAACCGCCGGTGCCGCTGCCACAGGCGCGAGCCACAGTATGGGCGGCATGGGGAGCGGAAACGGTTGCAAGATATCCGTCGGTTGCCTGACTTGACGCCCCCCTGCTCGGCCAAACACTGACCGCTTCCAGATGCTTTGGAACTGGAACACCATCGACTCATGCTTCCTCGCCTCATCATGGAAAATCACGTCTAATGGAGTCTTTGCGGGGTCCTGCATTGGCGTTGTCCTGCTCGTCATGTCGCTCGAAATGCTGCGCCGCGCCGTCAAGGAATACGATCGCTTCCTCATCAACAAGCACCTCAAGTCACTGCCTGCCGCCGCAAGGTCATCAAAGGCCGGATCTGATGACGGGAGTCCGGCCCCCAACTGTGCCCCCGCCGTTGGCAAGGGCTACCGCCCGACCATTTTCGAACAGGCCATTCGTGCCCTGCTGCATATGGTGCAGTTTGCCGTTGCTTACTTCGTCATGTTGTGAGTGCTTCTGATTCCGTCTTTAGTGTTGAATGCCGCATGGATACCGGATGCTGACCCGGACCAGGCTTGCCATGTACTACAACGGCTACATCATCATTTGCATCTTCCTCGGTGCCTATATCGGCAGCTTCATTTTCCACTGGGAGCCTCTTGGCGGGTGAGTGTCCCGGGTCTCCCATTAAACCCTCACGGTCTCCCCTTTACTCACACATGGGTAGTGGACAGCAAACCAGCGCGTCAAAGGAGGCCACCGTGTGTTGCGGCTGAGTCGCATGGTCGGAGTTTCTCTTAATACAGCGTTTCGGTCAGGGCTTAAATCCTTCTGGTTCACCATGCGGCGGTCCAGCCAGGTCGAACCGGGTTGCTCCATGGACAGTATCCATCGCGGCGCTGGTTTTGTTTAGAACCTATATCTAATTCTCGCTACATCTCACCGTGGTTAATATCACCCTGAACAATTGGCCGTCTCCCAAGTCATCGTTGTGCCGATCCGTCCTGTCCCCTTCGTGCACGGCGAAAAGTGACATTCCCCATCCACGACATAACCATCCCCCCCCCTACCCCTACCCTCAACGCGAGCCAGGCACCAGGATTCCTGTCATTCGTCCGATGGGGTGCGATCCTGCTCCCGGGTCGTCCGATGTTGTGGTTCTGGTAAACTGATAGCGGCTGATAGGGGCAATATCTCGTGCATTTCCGGCTCGCTTCCCGCGCCGCGATGTCACGCCGCGGCAATATGCGAGCCGCCTCCCAGCCCTAAGCTTCTGTCACCGACTTCGCCAATGCTACCGTAGCAAGCCAATCGGGCTGAAAGAGGGCCACTCAATCTAGGCCAATATTCGCCAAACACGGGACTGACACACAAGCGAGGAAGCCCGGCAGCTGGAAAACAGGCGAGAGAAGCGGTCTGCTTCCCGTGCCGTGGGAGAAGTCAGAGATTCAGCACGTTGATCCCGATCCGCCGATTCTTGGCCCCCTCAGCGCTCTGCATGTCAATTTCGCCAATTCTTGTGCTGCAGGGCAACATGACCTCGGCACCAACCTTCCTGCCGCCCTGGTTCAGACTTCAATGTCGAGCTGCAGCTGATCCTACATTGCCACCACCGGCTCCTTCACGCAGGGTGCTTTCAGACCCTACCACCTTCCCTCGTGGCCACAACGGGACGCTGTTGCAGCCAAGCCGCTAGGGTCATTCCCAACCCGATGCAGGCTGCAGCCGGTCAGCCCAGCAAACCCTCACCAGCGCCCGGTAAGACCATGCAGAAGATGCAGTCATGACCAGCTTGTAACCAGGTTTACTGTCGTCCGTGGTGATGAACGGTTACAACCCGCTGACGTCGTATCTGCTTGATATGAAAGACTCCTTCCTGGTTGGCTAGACTCATCTCGAACTCGGCACTCTGTCGCGCAAGAAAAGTTCCTGTCGAAAGTGAAGGGGGGTGGTGTATGGATTACGTTACCCATTCTTCCGCCGCCCTCGCTTCCCTCACAACCACCAAACTGGAAATGGCATGCGTTTCTCGGTGAGCGAAAAGCCTAATGCCGAGACTCCCGACAGACCTCAACGGCAATGTCCACCTTCGGCCCGGTTTGGAAGCCGAAACAAGCTGATAACAAGAAACCCTCCGACTGTGCAGCATCTGCTACAGGCCTTATTGCCTTTGATTAATCCGCAGGTATACCAACCACTGGGAATGGTTAGGGGCCTTGAAGTGTGAAAGTGCAAGCTGCCGCCTAAGCATGGCGCTATATAGGGCGGGCGCCGGAAACCTCCTATACATCCCCGGTTTCGGTGAAGGGGCGCCGTTCCTTGGACCTGCCGGTTGATACAAACCATCTTAATCCTCACTTCCTCGTATCGTGGATTCGGCCTGTCTTGCCGTCCTAGTGGAGAATCAATCTCGAAGTTCAAGATAACTGCTATTAGTTTCTCACAGATCGGCATTAGCCCACTCAACCTAACGTACCTGATGTAACAGGACTTCATACATGTCACAGACGAGGTAACTGAAACTCATCCTATCATTTACAGACTGTTGCCGATGGTGGAAAAGGAATCGAAGTTAGGTCTTTCCGGTAACGGTGCTCCTCCTTTAGGACCACAAAGGATATGTAGTTGTAGAAACAGATGTGTTCGAGGATCGGGCTGCGGTGCTTGTACACTTCTAAGTAAGAGAGCTTGAAGCCGCTTTCTCGGAAGTAGACATTGTCTGGGTGCGGCTCCTAGCCAAGGGTTACCAATGCTTCTCGCAGACCCGGCCACTGTCTAGCGCAGGCCCAGTACATCTCCTATTACCGACCGCGCAGCCGAGCCATCTGGCTCTCCTTGCTGCTATAAGGCCAACTCCAGCAGCTCCTCTATATGAGCGAGTCGCTGCTATATCGGAGCGTTCAGCTTCGAGGCATAGTTGCAAATGTAGTGGATGAGCGCCAGCCCCTTTTTCTGTATAAGGATTGTTGATATGTTAATGTTATGCTAAAGACCTGCGGCGATGCTCTGGTTGTACTGATTAACCATCTAATAATCCCGTTTCACCTTAAGCAGGCTATCTTCCGTAAAGCTAGTCTCCGGCACGAGTTTCCACGGAGCCCGGAGCCGATATAGCTGCGCTTTACATTTCTCCACACCCAACTTGAGAACTTCCTTAATCGAGTACTTCACATACATAGCGGTATGGTAATGAACTTAGCAGCGAGATGCAACGAAGTTGGCTTCACGCTTAAACTCCCCCGATAGCTACTCTACATTGTCTATTAACTTAGGCTCTACTATAGTAGTTTTCTTACTACTCTCTGTTACCTCCTTTGCTAGAGCCTCGTCCAGGCAGAGTTACAGTAAATACGTTATCTACAAAGCTCTTTACCTTAGACCGGTATACCGCTTCGTCGGGGTTAGCTATATCGTATATAAGATTTACTAAATCTAGGTTCCTATCTAGCTATAGTAGGCTATATAGGTAGAGGGTTCTACAGTTATTAGTCTCTATCGTAGTATAATAGTAACTTATATTCCTATAAATGGATGACCGTCGAATGTAAATATAGTGCTTAAAGAATAGGGAGATCTTATAAAAGAAGAAAAGAGTTAAGCTTAAAGGATTATAGACCGAGAGGGTTATCGCCTATAGCATTATAAACAATATACTAAGAAAGACTCTAGCAGCCTCGCTATCCCATCCTCTATATACTATAAGCTTTAGCTTTACTAGATTATTAATATTATTTAGGTTAAGTATAAACTAGATAGCTATAAGGCTAAATACTATAATTATAGACTAGATCTTCTTTTATATTAATAGATAGCTCTCGTTTAATAATAGATATTAGCTACTATTAAAGTAGTAACATACCTCAAAGCTACACACACTACCAAACACCTATAGTAGGTTATATACTATATATACATTATAATATTAATGTTATATAAGGGAGGAATTAGCTCAGAGAACAATCTTCAATACTATAAATCCTATAACTATAGAATCGATATATCTATATATATAGCCTTCTGGTTAGAAGGTTATAGTTACAACTACTGCGAAAAGAGGTTACTTTAATAAATGTAGAAAAAGAAATAGAATTGCATGCTCTGTAAACTCTAGGAGGGCTTGAGCCTCTAACTAAATATAAGGACGCTCTAGGTAGATAAATATAACGAAGAAACGGAAAAATAAAAATCTAAACTTTATATCCCTCTAGTTAGAGGGAGCTCGTTACCTTAGTTTACTATATAGAGAAAGTTCCTTTATAAATATTAAAGTAGCAATATACCTCAAAACCACACACACTACTAAACACTTACAGTAGGTTATATACTATATATATATTATAATGTTAATGTTATTGTTAAACCCTAGAGTTTGGATTACTAGTGCTGTGGCTATCTAGGGGGCTCTATAGTACTGTAATTGAATTTGTATAGCCTATAGCTATATACTGGTATTTTAGTTGTAGCGGTATAATTACTGGGTAGCTAGTTATTTTAGTTTAAAGAAGGTTGGTTTTTCTTTTTACTAAGTGTTAGTTTCTCCTAAATCGAGCTACCCTATACCTACCCTATACCTAGGTTTCCTAAGCGAGCTACCCTACACCTAGTTATTCCTAACCAGCCTACCCTATACCTTTTAGCATCCTAAATAACCTACTCTATACCAGTAGTTAGCTCCTAAATAGCCTATTCTACACCGTTTAGCTCTAACCGGCCTACTCTATACCGGTTTTTAAAGTAGTAGTATAAGTAGGCCTAGGTACTTCTAGGTATAGCTATAAGTAGGTAAGCCCATTTTTAGTTAAATCTATATAAATAAGTTTTATAGGATTTAGTTTTTTACTACTAAGACTACTAGACCAAATTCAGCACTGTGCCCCGGTTGGTAGGTATATGAGAAGAAAGTAGTAAATCCAACTCTAGTAGTTAAGATAGCAAATATAGAGGTATTCCTAAAATAATAGTAGTTTACCTACTAAATTAACTACTATTATAAAGCTTAGGCTCTGTAATTACTACTAGTAGCTAAGTAATAGTACTATATATTACTTTTCTAAAGTATATTATAACCTCTATTAGTATATATACTATAGGACCTTACCTATCTAAACTACAATAGGTTATAAGTTTAGAAAAGTACTATTTCTAACTATAGGCTTATAAATTACCCTATAATTTAGAGCCTTTAAACGCTATAAACTTAGCCTATTTCTACTATTTATAGTTTAGAATCTTTAAATTCTTTGTTTCTCTAAGCTAGAAACTACTATAGGAACTTTAACCTATAGATAGACCTCTTAATATAAGGTTATTAACTATATTCGATAGCTAATAGTTAATAACTACTTTAGAGCTTAAGGTTAGATCAGTTTATAACTGGTGTCTTAGGGTTAGGGAATAGAAAAAATCGCTTATTTTTAACTTTTAAATTTCACCTAATTTTCGAAATTACCCGACCGGAACGCATCTTTTCCAAGGATACGTTCCGGTCGTAAGCGCGAAAAAACCCTTACACTAGCTGCATTAACCGGAACGTATCTTTTCAAAAGATGTGTTCCGGTTGCAAGTGCGGAAAAACTAATTAGATTTAGGTGGGTGAGGCCCTGTAGTGCACACACTAACAGGGCTTACAATGCACTTTGGGGAAGCAATGCACAGTACTATTGCTTAGCTACCAGCAGTAATTACAGGGCCTAGGCCCTATAACAGTGGTTAATTTAGTAGGTAGACCACTATTGTTTTGGGAATGCCTCTATATTTGCTATCTTAACCACTGGAGTTGGATTTACTACTTCCTTCTCATATACCCACCGACCGGGGCACAGTGCCGAATTCGGCCCAGCGGTCTTAGTGGTAAAAAACTGAATCCCGCAAAACTCATTTGTATAGGTTTGACTAAAAATGGGCTCACCTGCTCGCAGCCGCACCCAGAAGTGCCCGGGCCCACTTGCACTACTACCTTAAAAACCGGTGCAGGGTAGGCCGGTTGGGGCCAAGCGGTGCAGGGTAGGCCGCTTGGGAGCCAACCACCGGTGCAGGGTAGGTCGCTTGGGATGCCAAGAGGTGCAGGGTAGGCCGGTTGGGAACAACCGGGTGCAGGGTAGCTCG